ACAGAAAAACAATCTCACAAGAAAAAACGTCTGGAGCGCCATGTGCACTCACCACCTTCGCCGCAGTCAGGGGAGCAAGCCACGCGGGCGCACGCGAAGTGCCTCCCATTACCGTGAGGGCATTTTGTGACGATCGCCTGCGAACCTTCCTTGGCCACGCAGTTGTCGCCGGCACTGCACGGGCCTGGTGTTCCAGCTCCTCCTGAAGCAGCTCGGGCTCGCACGACGTCGCGTTGACGAATAGCTTCGGCCTTCTCTTCCTCCGTCATCTTAAGCTTGCACTTGTCTCCGCCGCATGCGAACCCGAACTCGGAGGGTTCGCCAACACCCCCTAAGGTCCTGACTGCACGTGTTGTGCACGGGTCCCTTGCACCCACTACAGCGGTGGTCAGTGTTGTACTCCGGCTGAATGCACTCCCCAAGGATGAAGCAGGAAAAATCTGTCGTCATGGCGGACCCAGCCGCCCCGACATTCGCCACACCGGACATGTCCCTAAAGTGTTACTTCTATGTCCACGAAGTGCCCCTTCACCTTGACTGATACAGGCCTTGGTTGTGTTGAAGACTATGGTCGAATCGGACGTGAAGTCGATCCAGGGGGAGTGCGAGAGAGTGCTGCGGTTGCTTCAGCTTGTGGCTTGGTTTTTTTATTTGAAGGGCGGAATGCGGTGAGATTTGCGATGGTGTGACGTTGTGGATGTTCTTCAAGCCAGGGGTATCAATCATCTCGTAGCTGTGGCTGTGTACACGCCCTTGGCGCAGAAAGTGGCCTGCGGTGCGTAAGGGTGTGTGTGTAACCCGTGTCCGCTGCTGGAACAACGTCGTGAGGCCTGTGCATCCGCGGGCGGTGCTAGGATGGTGAGCCCACCACAACGAGAACCTGTGGGCAAATGTGTCTTGAAAATAGACTGGGAATCAGCCTGACCCCCCTCCCCCCCACAGCCACTTTTGGGAATTTGGCGGCCCAATTGCAGGAAGCTTATAAGAGTCAGCCTTTAGGAGAAATATATACAAGGGTGAAGAATCACGCCACCGGCTCCCTGCGCTCGCTCCAGTACCGGCTCTCTGTAATTCATCGGGCAAACTACNTGTTCTTCAAGCCAGGGGTATCAATCATCTCGTAGCTGTGGCTGTGTGCACGCCCTTGGCGCAGAAAGTGGCCTGCGGTGCGTAAGGGTGTGTGTGTAACCCGTGTCCACTGCTGGAACAACGTCGTGAGGCCTGTGCATCCGCGGGCGGTGCTAGGATGGTGAGCCCACCACAACGAGAACCTGTGGGCAAATGTGTCTTGAAAATAGACTGGGAATCAGCCTGACCCCCCTCCCCCCCACAGCCACTTTTGGGAATTTGGCGGCCCAATTGCAGGAAGCTTATCCGACGCTGCAACTACGGGGAACGCCGACTGCGCGCCCACAGCAGACCAAGACCTGTCAGCAGCAGGCAGAAAACCGCCTGCGCCACCAAGAATGTCCTCGTCGGTACTTGTGTGCTACGTGATACAGGTGAAACGCAAGAAATATGTATCTCCAACTCGAGAGACGTCGGTACTATGCTGCGTGCTCCATCCGGCGCTCTTGTACTTGTTCCTCTTTGAGTCCTCTTCGTGACCGAATGGGAGAGACAGGGTATTGCCCTGATGTTCAAGTCAAAGGGAGGTGCACAAGCACCGGTAAGCAGAGGCTGGTGTGGTAGACTCTCGTTCCGTAGGTTTACTTCCATCGCATCTGCCGTGAGCAAGTGCGACGCGTGTACTGCTAGGTGGTACCTGACAGAAGTATCAGGAGGGCACAGAATGTAGCAGACACGGACCGGCCTCTTCGTTCGCTCCGAAAGAGACAGCGCGCAGCAGTTCTCCCGTGTACTGTACCCGCCGAGGCCAATCCAACAGCAGTGCAACAGCAGTGCAACAGCGAATGGCTATTTGTTCTTGAAGGGGATCTCGCGGTCATCCTTTATCGGTGGTAGCGGTCTGACCGTCCACCGTACCAAGATGTACTCTGTGTACTGCAATAAAGCGCACTGACCCAAGGAGCTCCCCTTGTCAGTCGAGAACGCCAAACTCAATGCAGTGCGGAGACTGAATGCACCCCCCCCGAAACAAGCTTCGCAGTTTCGGCTGTGTCTGTGGTCATTTCAAGCCAATTGGTCATGTGCGTGTAGTGAGATGGCATGGTATGCACGCCTTCGGCGGAACTTTTGTTCCATCCCATCCCATTTCCTTCCCTTTTCCACCTACAAGTAGCTCATCATCCCATCAACAACGAGACGAAGTGCCTGGGTGCAGAACGAAAACACCTCCATGAGGGGCGGCAGATGGCCAAGAAGGCAGTATTCCCTTGAACCCTTTCTTACTGGTCCTCCAAGCCGTGTTCTGTGTTCCATGCTCCTCATTTTCTCGCTTCTGCCTCTCGCGGGCATGCTGCGCTCCTCCCAACCACGCTCGGTCTTCGTACCCAGGGAGACGAGGATGACCCCGAAACCGGCGTGCAGTCTAGCTTTCGCGTGGATCGGCCGACCCCGCCGCGGACGCTGACGTTGTTCCGGCTGAGAGAGATGTTCCCCTTCGAAGGGACGTTTCACTTCCGGCTCAAGGTGTGTTGAGACCGGCTGGGAAATGCGGTCAAAACTTCGCGCAACACACCCTTGAGGCGGAAATAGATGTTCGCATGAGCGTATGTATCAAACACCACGGTCAACGATGACGCAGGCCTCCGACAGAGATGTAAGGTTCAGTCTCCTAGAGCTGACAGGCAAACTCCCGCGAGCGCAGCAGTCCAAACGCCACCACCACGCCACCACCTGCATGGATGATGACGGTCCCACTAGGAGCACCGGCTGTGTATCACCGACTGCGCCACACTCTGGGGTTGGCGTCCCATGTTTTATTGTACACGCGGACTGCTTTCGAGTATACAGTCGGAACTCTGGTTGCACGTTTTCGTGCGAGCATCGTCAGTCCTGCGGCTAACCGTTCCGCGCGACGCGGCAGGTTCCGGACGCGAACGGCCTGTCGGACTACTGCTGGGTGGACCTCACTACGGATGGGGAAGACATTCTAGAGCTAGCCGAGAACCTCGGGGGGCTGGAGGGCGGCAACAGCGGGGGCCACCCGCAGGAGCGGGTGCACCTCAAGGTTCGGACAGCGCGCGCCCCCTGTCTCCAATCGTTCGCCAGAAAACACGCCTGTGGTAACGCCAGACTCTCCATTGATTTTATGAGCTGTGCCGTTTTTTGGGGTAGGAAGTGGTCGACTGTTTTCGGTTTCACGTTTCCGCCTTCAAGAACGAGAAATATCTCAACGACCGACGACTTCCGTGTGGGGAAACCCACCAACAGCAGTAGCGATTGTCTCTTTCGGGTCTGACTCATTCCTCGTGATCGTCTGTACTTGGGTGTGTGTGCAGGTTCTCCCTATTGATTTCGGCGGCCCTGTTGAACAAGAGGCCGCAGAAAATGCTCCAGCAGAAGCAGCAGCGGCACAGGACTTCTATGCTGGGGAAGGGGTGGGGGTGGCTCACGGTCCGGGGTTCGGGCTCCATGCGCCAGGAGCGAGGGGGCAAGCGACTGCGGTGAGATAGGTGTTGCAGATCGTCGGGGGAGAGGATCGTGCTTAGCGAGAGTTGGCTAGCGATGACGTTTGTGCCTGCCACCATCTGGGCGTGTTTTCGATCAACGACAGGGCTACACGCAGCCGTGTGCATCGTGTTTGGTGGAAACCCATGTGTCGGGCCATGCCCCCGATAGACTGTCGGCCAGGAAGCCCGGCGTGGTGACAAGCATTGCCCTCGACACCCCGGCGCTTTTAACTAACATCGCAATTGACTCATCTGGGAAGGTCTCACCCGCACATGATTGTCTACAAGAGAGACATTTTTTCGTGCGGTCATTGCTGTCACGCTCTGTATACACCCTGGACTCGTCTCTGGCGGTGCAACCCTGGCCGCCAAAGATCACAGCTCGATCCTCACCCCCCCCAGCACGTATGAGCAAATCGTTCCTTTGGCGGGGGGCG